GCTTTTCATCCAGATGTACTCTGAAACTAAGCCATACCGGATCATTCCTCTTGTGCTACTCTGTCCATCTTTTTTGGCTATGAAATTCTCAGAATAAGCTTCAAGCACCCATTTCTGTGAGGAAAATGAATTGCCCCGCAGCAGCACTACCTCTGTATATGCCTATGACTGCGCTACAGCTCATGTTAAAGCTCATCTCCAGGCTTAAGCTTTCATTTCATGCAAAGAGGAGGTGTGGCCAGTTAACAGGCCCATAACTTGTGCAGTCACATCTTGCTCATGTGCCCAAGCCTCATAGCTCGGCATTTCCCTTCCTCCAGAAACACGGATTTGTTTTCCTGACCCTTAGTGCATCTGTCTGTGAGGCGATTGCAGTAATAAAAATGTTACACGGGAGTACCTTGGAGGTTCCCTCTGCATTGAGCAGAACTCCGATTTCCCAGAGATACAGCGTGAGGGAAAGCACTTGTTATTTGTGATAGCATCTGGCCAGGGATTCCCCACGCCTTCCAGATACAGTGCTTCAGCTCCGTGGGTGGCTGCTGTGAGGCTTCTGGTCTCTCGTGGGACAGTGTGGGGAATGCTGGGATGGAGTTGCTGAACTAGAAAAGCAAAAACATTAGGATTTGGGGAAAGATGGCTGTCTGGCCCACAGAGGATGCTTGTGGTAGCCAGAACTGTCTAGAACAGCAACAAGAAATACGTCACACATCTGGCACAGGTTCTCTGGGGTATGTGAATGCAGGTCTTTGCTATACAGGAGCAAATGTAAAATGTCACTTGTCCTGGAAGACGTAGTCAAATGGATGCATCTTGTTCTGTGGGTATGTCAGGATGGGACTGAAGTCTCATGTAAGTGTTCACGGAAGCTCTGGTACCTACAGCAAAGTACACACAACAGCAAGCAGCTGAGTACACACCAGGTCTCCGTAGCATTCACCCAGCTTCTAAGTTAGGCTTTGCAGTCCAAAATTAAGTCTGTGTTGCTCCAGGTTACCGGTAAAAGAGTTAACTTGTTTAAAACTAGTGTAGTTGTACCTACATGAGCTTCAGTCACACCTTGAGCTACTGGCTAGGTACAGACACAATTTATTCCAAAGGCTGGACTATGATGAGAACAATTTAGCCCTAGATGGAAATCTTTATTCTAAATCTTTATTCTGAGTTTGCTTGTTCTTGCGTAATCCCCTCATACTTCTGTAGCTTCAGCCAATTCCACAGCACAGAGGTGGTGTCAGAGACAATTACACCGTACCGCTGCAGCCCAGAGGTAAGGAGGGCACTCTTGGATTCCCGTAGGTAGAAACACCCACATTTATGACTACTGATTAAAACATGGTATTGGAAAAGAGGATCATCTGAGTCATCAGGATATCAGTTGTCTGTTGCTTTCCTTCACGTGTGAATTAGAAAAAAGAATAAAGTTGCATTAAATTAAAAAAAGAATTTCAATAAAATATTCAAAGGCTTCCCACAGTTGGGTGTATGCTTACATTTTTCTTTACCCATTGTAAATCACAGCAGTAGATCTTCCCCCCCTCGTGTTTTGCATTAGTAAATTGAACTATATACTCTGTCCCCTCAAAGATTAATGCCTCCATCTGCAGAAGTAGTTGAATACGTGCTGGTGGTAGTACTTTCATCATTAGCAAAGGGGAGGCTGTGGGAGGAGAACAGAATTTGCATGCGTTGGATGCTGGCCTAAACATACTCTCACTGAATTCTGGACATCAGGGAACAATTGATAGAGCATAAGTATTTAATCAGCAAACCACAGAAAAAAAAAATTTGAGGAATCCTACTTCTAATTAAAAAGCTTTTCAGCCGCCTTTGTTCCAAAACGAACAAATGTTTTGCTAATACCATGTGTCTGCAGACTGCACTCCAAATTTCTCGAAACTCTATTTGCTGTCAAGCGGCATTACATTTATTAGTTGTCCTTGGGTAAGTTTTTAAATCTCTGTAGAAGTTTGAAATCTTTCCACTAGCCTATTTTTGGAAGACACATTTGAGAGACATTTAACTGCCACAAATGTTAAACTGTCAGTTCAGAGAAAGTGACGTGCCTCATGTGTGCGCATGGCATCCAGTACAACTTGGTCCTCATCCTTGTAGAGACCTCTGAGTACCTTCACAATTCTTATGTTACTCTGAAGTTCCGCTTATTCACTAGAAAGCTACCCAGTGAGTCTGTTTAAAAACAAGCCCGGTTTGCTTAGAATAAAAATAAAATGTCAATAGAGATGAGCCTGACTTTACCGCCCTGCTCTGTACGTAGCTGCTTGCAGAAAGCTACCTTAGAACCCACGTTTAATCAAAACCACTTTAAGTTAAACTTTTTTTTTCCCACCACCATCAGCACGTGAAGGAACAAATAAGCACAGGCAGTACAGAACAAAGAACATTCACCACTGTGATATTTTGGCCTCTCATTGAACAGCATTCATACCGCCTTCCTCCTTCGCCCTGCGCTAGGACTGCGTGTCTTTGATGTGCCAGGAGAGTAAAGGCACAAACACCTGTGGTCACCAGAGGTTTTACCGCGGTCCTTGCTTGCTAACCATGGTGCCCTGGCTGTTTTCCAGCGAAGGGGGGTACACGATTGTGCCTGCCTAGCGAGCATCTCCGAGGTTTCAAAACATTTTCTTCACTTCCTGCCTTAAACTTCTGCAATTGTTGTGTTCTGCATTAGAGACAGCGGCTTTTAACAACCGGTAAAATAAATTCCTGTGTCTGTCATTTGCCAAGTACCTTGATTTTTTTTTTTTTTTTTTGCAAGTTTGATGATGTTTGCCATTTTTACCGGTTGCCGTGTTAATTTCTGAATTAACCTCTTGTGATCATTGACAAAAGCCTGAAATTGTAGAACTCGTGGACAGCACAGGCCTGGCAGTGAGAACAAAAACAAGTAGCTAAGTATATTGTATTTTTTTAAAAAGTAATTTTATAATTAATTTGTGCTGAAATCACAAATGTACTCTAGCCTTGCTTTGGTTTAAAGGTTACTTCGACAGACCTTGTTATCAAATTCCCACTGAAGAATACCCTTATCACTTCTACAGTTCTCACTAAGCACTAAATAACTGCTGGGATTTGAGATGCAAATTACCACCGGTCAGGCACTGAGACTTTTATATCAGCGTTTGGGATATGCTGTCATTTTTCCACCAAAATTGTAAGCGCAGGATGGTACCTGAATGTGAGTTATCTAGCAACCAAGGGCAATGGACCACAGGCCAGACGTCGTTATCGGTCAGCCACTGCTTTTGTGTAGAAAGCAAGGCCTGATGCTGCGAGGTGCTGCTTGTTCCGAATTTTTGCTGAAAACAGCAATAAGTGCAGATGCTCAGCGTCACAATACCGAGCACCCATCACCTATCTGCAGAGCCGCCGGCATCGTGAGGGCAGCGCGTGTTTGGTGTTGCAGTGCCGATACAGGTCGACATACGAGTTGATACTGCCGAATTGTGTAAAAAGCAAACCTTCGACTGGAACGTGTGAGCAGAGGTGCTGCCCATGAGGCGTGTTATTTTCTCTGCTGCTGGAATATGATGTTCGGCTTTGGGTATTTTGATAAGGATGCAGACAAAATGGAGTGAGCGTGCAAGTGGTCCAGATACCACCCCAGCTGGCGGGAGCGGGTTTGGGCAGCCTGGAGCAGGGGATGGGCCAAACGTGTGAGGGGTTCCTGCAACGGAGGGAACAACCAGGGCGAAGCTGGTGGGGTACTGCGCAGCGAGAGACCGAGGATGGCCGAGCGGAGGTTTCTGACGGTGAGCTCCGGAGCAGGGCGTCCAGCAAGGGTTCTCAGAGGAGAGCTTGATGGAGGCACCCTCCGTCGCCCCTCAGCGTGTGCTGGAGGCCTGGGTTGCTCCCCTCAGCGGAGCGGAGGACGGGGCAGGGGAGGGAGCGGCCATGGGCCCCCAGCACTCGGCCTGCGGAGAAGGGCCAGAGCGTGTGAAGGAGACAGGCCCCGCTGTGGGAGAAGAAGGGGCGCTGCAGGTGGTGGGACTGGGGCCACCTGTGCCCCTCAGGTCTCACCCGGGCCCTGTCACGGATCTTGTGGTGAATTTTTAAAAACTGACCCAAACGGGCCCGTTTATTTAGTTGTTGGGAGCGTTCCTCAAAGGCTCGGGGC